ATGCATGACACGTACACATTTTTTTTTAATTTTGTTTTAATAAAGTAAATAAATAAAAATGGGTCAAAGTCACAAATAAATCAACAAAGTTCCGCACAAAAAATCAAAAATTGTACAGCAGGACCAATTTTTATTCTTTTGGAGCGACTGTCACGCAAAAACAAAAATCGCGTGCTCACAGTGCCGATCAGAACTCTTCTTTTCAAGGCACTTCAAACAAAGAAGTGGCTTACCTCATTTAAAAGGAGCATTTCTGCTAGCACCCTTGAACAAATATTTTGTTGTAACAATTCTGCAATGATACCACAAGGGAAAAATTAAAATAACTTAAAACCAAAACATGACAAATTGTGTTGCAGCCATAGGAAGGAATCACATATCAAAGAGACAGCGGGTGCCCAACGATGTTAGTCTTTTGGTTTCTTTATTTCCTAAATAGATTATGTATTTCGCTTTATTCATGTGTACCAATTTTACCGTTAATAGGCACTTCAAAGAATCCATTCATCCTCAAAAATACCGAAAAACATGTACCTAAGTATCTATCTCTAAACATAGCAACGATTGAAATGCATGCACAGATTTTTAGATACTCAACTAATTTCAGAACGGAAAAAAGGAATAAAACTCACCAAAAATCAAAAATCATAGAGTCACCAACATACTGGAATCAAGGAGCTAAGACAAAAATAGGAGAAAGAAGGAAATAACATATTAGGGATTAAGAAAAATTAGACGAAAAGGGAGAGAAAGTTGTAAGGGGCTGTTGGGAAAAAAAACAAACCCAAATTAGTATCCATCAGCTGGCACCCAAATTTCACGTTGTTTGGAGATGGATACCCAGAGCTTCACATAGATGTATTCTTTTAGCCTCCATTTGTTGTTTGGCAGGAAGAGTTCTCGAAGAAATGGGCATGGAACCTGAAGATAAGTGGAGAAAGTGGAAGCCAACTGTTTTTAACTTTATCCAAATGACGGTTTTACCCTTCGTGTCCAAAACAACTTTCACTTATTATTATATAGTTATATTAAGGAAAATGTGCATAATGGTCTCGTCCTCAATCTTGCACATTGGACAAATAGCGTCAATATTCATACCAATTTACCTAAGATAAGATTTACATGGTAGTTTATCATGAAAACACCTCCACATAAGGGATTTTATCCTTTTAGGACAGTTGAGATGCTAATTATATAGTTAAATTAAGGAAAATCTGCATAATGGTCTCGTCCTCTCTTGCACATTGGACAAGTAGTGTCAATATTCATACCAATTTGCCTAAGATAAGATTTACATGGTAGTTTATCGTGAAAACACCTCCACATGAGGGATTTTATCTTTTTATGACAGTTGAGATGCCAAATCCAATTGAAATCTTGGTTAGTTTGCTCATGACCCTCAATGAGGCTGTAACATGATTTTATAGTAAACATGCCATTGCCACTAAGTGACCAAATAGAAATGTCACGAGTAGTATTATATTGGGGGAGATTTATGGTTATAGTGTTATCAGTAATACAAATGGGGAGGTCAAAAGTCAACTTAGAGAAATTCCATAAATTTTTCTTCCTTTTATCTCTAATTTTTAGATTGTGATCATTCTTGTTGAGACGCCCTTGAATGGAATTTCTTAGATAAGGAGTGTTAGGAATCGATCTGGAATTTCAAATGTCAATAATAGACCTATCATTAATAGTCCAAAGGATCCCTTTATTATAATAGTACCAACCTTTTGCAATAGCACTCCAAATAAAAGAAATGTTAGCTTTCCTGGCTTTCGTAGCATGATTAGCAATAAGGAGCTTGGACCAAGGAGAATGCGGAAAGTTTAGTAGTCTCCATGTAAGTCTTGTAAGGAGGAACAAATTTTTGACTTAGCATTCTTGATTCTTAGACCCCCATTAGATTTACTACTAGGAACTACCTTCCAACGAAGCAAGTGGAGTTTCTTATTACTTTCAGTGCAACCCTATATAAAATTCCTTTGGTTTGATCAATAACATTCAGAATTCTTTGTGGGAGAAGAATATATTGCATGTCATGATTGGGAATAGTATTGAGTGTCGAGGAAACAAGAGTAGTTCTACCGGCCATACTTAAATACTTTGATTTCTAGTTAGATAATATGATGCGCATATTATCAAAAGTGAATTGATAATCAGTGGCTTTTGGCTTCTATCGCAAAATAGGATAGCCAAGGTATTTACCAAAGCTGTCACTGATTCTCATATTGAACAATTTAGAAATATACTTGGCAGTGTCGTTCGGACAATTTTTGGAGAAAATAATTTTAGATTTGGAATAATTTATCTTATGGTCTGATAAGTCACAGAACATATCGAGACAACTAAGGATAGTGGTTCATGGGGTATTATTGACCTTAGCCATAAGAGTGAGGTCATCTGCAAATACGAGGTGTGAAAATGAAGGACTTCTATTGTTGAGGCATATATGGTCCCAATTCCTAATATCTACTTGATGACTAATGTATCTAGACAACATTTTCATACATAGTATAAAGATATACGGAGACATAGAATCGCCCTATCTTACACCTCTGCTAGGGCTGAAAAAGTTAATTTTGGATCCATTTACTAAGATGAAGATTTTACTAGTAGTAATATAGGTCATGATCAGCTTTGTAATCTTAGGGAGGAACTTGAAATATCTAAGGGTTCGATAACCGAAAGACCACTCAAGCCAATCAAAGGATTTTTCTAAATCAATTTTAAAGATCATAAAAGCTTTGGAACCCTTAAAATGATTGAATTTAGAAAAGATTTCCTGAATAATGATAGCATTGTCACAAGCCCTTCTATTTTTCAAAAAACTGGCTTGGAAGGGACTAATGATATTATCTAGAAAAGGCTTGATCATGTTAGAAATGATCTTAGTGATAATTTTGTAAATAATATTACATAAGCCTATGTGTTTAAAGTTTTTTAGGTTATTAGCACTAGGAATTTTAGGAACGAGACATATGTAGGTATTGTTGATAGATTTAGGAAAGGACTACGTAGCGACAACATTGTGGCAAAATTGTAGAATCGATTGTCCCACCACTTTCCAATATTTTTGAAAGAAGAATGGGTGTAAGCCATCAGGACTAGGAGCTTTAAAAGGTTTAAAGGAAAAACAGCCCTAATGACTTTATTATCCAGTAGGGGATAGTCTAATGAAGACAGATCTAGATTATTCAAAGAGACTGGGTCATTAAGGATTTTTGACCAATTTGTTTGGAGATGACAGGTTGTGAATATCTCTGAAAAGTAATTCAAAGTGTGATCCTTCAAGGAGTTGTGATCATCAATCCATTGACCTTTGTCATTTCTAAAATAGGTAATATGATTTCTTCTTCTCCTATTAGTGACAGTAAAAATTTGGTATTAGCATCACCTTCATTAATCCACTTGATTCTAGATCTAAGTTTCCAGTAGTCTTCTTCTAGCTTAAGGATATTATTGTAGTCATACATTAGATCTTGTTCTAGTTGTTAAAGAAATCTGCTAGTAGGAAATTTAGGAGAATTCTGGATACCATTAAGTCCAGCTAAAAGTCTCTCTTTTTTTGTGAAAGAGATCACCAAAAGTTTTTCTTTTCCATTCCAAAATATCGTTTCTAAAAGATCGAGCAGCATCACACCTGTCTTTATCTTTCCAACTAGAATTAACCACATTAATGAAATCAGGATGTGATCACCAAATTGTCTCTAACCTAAAAGGTTTCTCGTAGTTCCCATTAGGCATAAAGTTCAACTTGATCAACAAAGGTCTATGGTCTGAGTGAGTTTTGGGCAGGTGGGTAACTGGGGCTTCAAGAAAAAGAGTAACCCATTTATTGTTACAGAACACTCTATCTAATCATTTCATAATTAGACTTTTCCTCTTTTTCCTATGATTTGACAAAGTGAATTTACTCCCCTTAAATCCCAAGTCAAAAAGGTTACAATAATTTATGCTGGACCATAGTTTGCATGACCTATTGAGACTAACAGGTTTACCAATAAATTTCTCCTTAGCCATTAAAATGTCATTAAAGTCGCCCTTACTAACCACGGGCCTTTATAGGAGTCATAACTATTTTCCAAGTTCTTCCAAAGTAGATTTATGTTAGCATTACTAGTACTAGTGTAAATGGAAGGAAAAAGCCAAGAGTAGCATTTAGGAAGTAACTCAACCATAGCATGGATTTCCTGATCTCGCCTAATAGAGTTTTTGACAGTGACCATATTGTGATCCCAGAGAATAACCATTCCTCTAGATCTTCCCTCTGCGGGGACCTCTATCATATCCATAAAATTAAAATCATTAAGAAGAGAGGTGTGAGTAGCCATCTTAGTTTCAAGTAAAGTAATCATGTAAGGCCTATGGGTGTCTATCATAACTCTAAAGTTCCTACTGAAGTTGTCATTGTAGCACCCCTAGTGTTCCAAATGATAATAGTTGTAGAGCTATTCATCTTGGGATTTGGGTTCTGTACGTTTACACTCCCCTCCTCCCCCGTAGGAGAAGATAGGTTTTTCCATGGGCATTGTATTATGATTATTACCAACTTTTCTACTATTAGATCTTGTGGTGTCTTTTTGTTCACTGTGCACCTGTATAGTGTAATTGGACAACTGAAGACATGCCTCGCATCGTGCCTCGCCTTGAAGGGTGAGACTTTGACTTCGTTTATGTTTAAAAACTTGATTCTCAAACCCCTATTTGGAGGAGGTATAACCTCTGATTCCTCCATTACATTTTCTCTTGGTTCTTAAGCATTGGATGGTGGATGGAGCTACATTTTCATGGGGGCCGGGTTGTCGTTTTGTTTCTGAGTCTATGCCAAGATGTTCTAGGCATCCCAAGTTATGAGAAGTGGGAATATATTGGCGGGGTCCTTTAATGGTAATGGATTGGGGTCCTTCGGTAGGAATGGGTTGAAGTGAGTAGGAAGGTTCCAAGGGTTCTGTATGTTCTGAATTAGAATTGTGTTCATGTTCGTGACTAGAGGATTCAAAAGAGTGTTTAGATATCGTGCTAGACACTTGCTTAATATCAAACAACACTTGTTCATTGCTAGGATTATCAAGAAATAAGTGTTCTTGAGTTGGAGGGATGTTAGCCTTGTAGGAAGTAGTGTCCATATTATCATTATTAAGAGTAATAATCACGTTGTCGATCCTATTTTGAGAAGCATAATTGGTTTGGTCCAAATGATTTTTATCCCTATTATCATTGGGCGTAGTATTTGCATTAGTAGTACGACTAAGTTTGTCATTGTAGAATCCAGCCACGTGGTTGTTATTCTTATATTGTGTGTCCTGCCAGCTTGAAATGCATTGATTGGTTTCATTAAGTGGATTTGCCTTGTGAGTGGTATTTTCCAAAATAGTGGGCTGGTTATTAGAAGGTAATTTAGAATTATTATTTTTATGATGATGATCAGAATTAGAAGAACTAGAAATATTAGCAGGGATTGAGTGAGATTTCCTTATACCTATATCATGTACTAGGAGAGGAATTTTTCTTTTGTATTTTAGTTTTTGAGTATTGAGATACTTACCTGTGGTAGAATCAAAGATTTTGACAATAATACCTGCATCATGTATGTTCCGGATTGATTCGGACTTTGTTCTTGGAGGATTCTTCTTTCTTTTCGAGAACACCACTGTCTTCCATTTTCACCATCTATTTCTCTTGACATGATTTGGGGAGAGCTTTGTTTCAATGTATTATTTCTTGATTTCTCTGGAACATAGTAGGGATACTAGTGACCTAATCTTCCACATAGTTTGCATAGGAAATTGTCACTCTCATATAATATTTGATGTTTATGAGAACCAATGAAAATATATGACTTCACTGGCTGATATAAAGAGACTTTCACACAAAGTCTTGCATAGCGTCCTCTCAAGGTTGCTGATGTACATGTATCAACCTTTAATAAATGCCCATTTTATTA